GTTCGAAGATAGGAATTGAAGTTAGCTGGTATTATTGCACAAGAAAAAATATGTAAATAATATTATGAGTTCTCTTAACCGAAATTACCATATATCTCTAAGAGTACTTAACAATAAAATTCAATAATTTCATCTATATTAGCTTCGGATGAATTATCTTTTTTATCATCCTGTAACCTTGATAATGTTCGATAGCATATAATTTCTAGACCAACTATCCTATACCATGTATTTCATAAATCAGTTAGTAAATCATATTCATTTTCTAGATTATATGATAACATGTATCTTTTTAAGGATATGGCTTTCGATCTGCACTTACCAACCTTAGTAACTAATTTATACATTTCATCTCTACACCCAACATCGATCTTAGAAATTTCTACAAGTAATGTTGTTAGCTTTAAGCGGATGGATTCCTCTTGCTTGTCTAATACATTGAGATAGGAAGACCAATAAGCATCATTTCCCAAGTATTTTACTATTTTATCAGCATATGTGCTATTAAATAAAGTTTTCGCGTAAATGCGTACCCCTTCCCATAAATGAGTTATAATGGTTTTATCTTTTTTCAGACCATCACATAGGTTTTTGATATACCCTCTAACCCACTTTTCAGCTGATTTCTGTGCTAAGGCATCTCTTATTTTTGATACCTCATCTTCATCCATTTCATCTTCATCTTCTTCGTCTTCGTTCAGGTCATCTTCATCTAATACACCATCATCTACTTTATTATCACCTGCTTTATTACCATCTTTTAACTTTTTTAAGACCCCCAGCACAATTTCAGATGGTGGTTGGAATAATTCATCATAGTTAATAAATCGCGTATAGAGGCTAACAACACTATTCAGATAATAGCTAATATTGATTTTTTTACTAAGTTGTCTTGCTACTTCTGGGTACTCCATTTTATCCTCCCACTCTTTTTGATGAATTATTCTCAACTACAACATATTCAAACCGTTCACCTGATTCTGGGATTTGATAAAGATAAGGGTCAGGAGTTAAGCCCTTTTTTATGACCTGTTTAACATCCGCTTCTTCACAGGTATGTCTATCTCGCATTCATGAAATGAAGCGCTATACACTCTTGTTATTTTTATCTGGCCTCCACACAATGGTTTTAACCACTCTATTAAGATTTATCTGTGAAATATCCCTTATAGTTTCTTTGAGCATATCCTCTACAACCCGTTTCAAGATACGTGTATTGTTTACCTCATCAATTCTTTCATAATACTTTTTCCTATTTCGTGAAAAATACTAGACTGTTCCCATTTTACAGTTTCAACTCCCCAGATGAAAAGCTTTTTATTAAAGTTTGGTTTGCTTTCATGCGGGATACCATAATATTTTTTCTTTCCAGCAAATAATACTGGAAATAAAACTTTCTCATATGCCATTTTAAGATAAGATGATCCATTATCTTCCTTGAGAAAGACATTAACTTCAATGCGAAGTTTTTCCATTTCCACCATAGAGATTTCCACCATTCGAGACCAATATTCTTCTTTTGAGATCCTATTACTGCTATCATAAGTCTTATCACACTTCTGAAAGCATTATTCTGGACAGATTAAATACAAGGAATTAGTGTTCCCATATTACATCCCGAATCCCTTTCTCTTGACAAAATCCACAACAAGTTTGATATTTCTCTGTCTGGCTGAAGTGACACCTCCAGCAAGTTCACGCAAGAAGAAAGGAGACTTGCTATCTCCAGCCGTACCATAAAATGTGTTCATGAATACCTTAAGAGTATTTTGTTTCGCATCTAAGCAACAATAATCAAAACAAACTAAAACGTATTCTACCATGAATTCATGTTTTTCTTTACTAATAAAATAGTATAGATTTTTGTTAAGGCTGTCACGTTTTTTCTCCTCTGCTTTTGCTAAAACATGTTTCAATAGCTTCTGGTAATGATAAATCTTTACCTATTAAACCTATTACCAGTTCTATGTCTTCCTTTTTTTCTTTCAAAGGGGCAAGGTGTTTCTTTATCTCATTCTATCTGCTAGATAAATATTCCAATATAATAGCATAGAGACCTTTTTCTTCAGGAACGTTATTATGTTCTATAGATCATGCAAAAATATCATTATCATTGAATTTGAAATTAATTTCATAGAACCTTTTTCCACCACCTCTCAGAGACTTGGCATGTTTTCGAGATAAAATAATTTTATCGGGCGAGAGGTTGTAAGTTATAATAAGACTTGAATATAATGATGCAAAGTCTAAGCCAGTTACAGAATGTTTATTTTTGAGCCCCTTTATTGGTGGAAAGACGTAGGCAACTGGAAATGACTTGTCTCTGTTTTCTCTGAAATTGTACTGGTTAAAATTCCTTTCCGCCATGCACTAGCACTTAAAAGATTGCTCACTTTCATTATTATTACAAAATAATGCGTATCGAATAATGATATAAATGCTATATTCGCAACCGTTCTGTACTCATTAATTACATTGCACTTAATCATTAACCACTAGCAACTAAGAGCATCAATGATACAATACTCGGCTATTTTGTGCATCTGCTCAGCCGTTGTGGCATTTGTTTCCTTCAATACCATCTCAAAATATTTGTTCATGCAGTGAATAGGCAAATCCACTTTGTTGTCAAAGTTACACTCTTTTAAGTAATATGCGAGACTACTTTTTTCTTCTTTAGAATAAAATCCCATAAAATAGAGCCAAACATCAATAATCATACAGCCGGGAATTTTAAGATGCTTCGAATGGAATTTTCCATTATTTACTTTTATCATGTTATATTGATATTCCCATTTTATAATTTTTTTAGGCTCAATAGCTTGAATGACATATGGTTGAATATCCATTCGAGAATCCATAATTTATTAGCTTTCTCTACAATAAATTTCCAGTCGTATTGTGAATCATTGAAGCCTATTTGTATATCTAAAGCTAAATATCTCTAACACAACGCGAATACTTTTAGTAAATTAGTCTGAGATCCACACACGATTATAACCCACCGTGAATCTGATGCTGTTTTAATATCGACAAGACAGATTCGCTTTAACGATTTAGGATCATCTTTCCAATGAACTGTCATGCAAATCATAAACACTTTGTCTTTATCATATTTTGCGTTAGGTACCTTACCAGTTTTTTGTGAGCTATATGTTTCGATATCCTATGTGAGAACAAAAGTGCAATCTCGTAAAAGTGCTAAGGATAATAATGGATTATTATAATCATCCTCACTTGTTGGATTGTAATTATCCACAGAAACTTGAAAGAGATAAGTACCCCCTTAAATATGTTTGTGAAAATAATTACTTAACGTTGCCCAACTTGAAAGAGGTAATCTTTTTTTACAAGCTACTTTGCGGTAATAATACTGGCAATTTAGATCATCTGAAGCTGTATGCATACTAACAGCGCAAACTGCTTTTAATGCATTATACCGATCAAAATAGTTCTAAGTGCTAATACGGATATATGGTTTATTTTCTGTATAATATCCTCAAAGTAAAAAAATGCTAATATGCTCAATCCTGAAGTTTGATATACCTCCGAGGGTATTAGATAATATTTTCACTAATTTGGTCTTAAATATAGATAGTGACATCTCTTCAGGTACTACGATATCAAAGAAAGGTTTAATGCCTGTAATATTTACGACTGCTTTTTTTCCATTAATTAAAATACCAGCAATGTGCAAAATATAAGAGGAGATACCTTTTATATATTTGGTATTATCACTAACTTCGGTAGGCATAAAATGTATGGGTTACTTGCCAGATAGGCTTTGTTGAAGTATAGTGGTTATCTCATTATCGAATTCTGCCACAATATCATTACGTGATGGGCTACCAGCTACAGACTCAGCATCGTTGTAGTGGGCGAGCGTTGAGCTAGTTCTAGTTTCACAATTTTGGTTAGAAGTAGTTAAGGTATACATGGCGTCAGTAGGTAAAACTTTATATACTCCAATATATTTCCAAAATGTTTAATTTATTTTTTCGATGGATAGATAAAAAAAATGACATATAACAAGTTGCGAGAAAGTGTCAGAGAAGTATTAGGAACTGAAAGCATGAAGGGGTAACTTCATAATTATTATATAATAAAATGGAAGAAGTCCCTATATGAACTTAGTAAGTAAATCGTAAAAGAAAAGCATTCAGCTATAACTAAAATATGAAGCCTTCTCAATAATTATATTATACAAAAATAGGAGAAGGCTACCCTATCACTAGTATGTACTTAGTATATGTATTTTGTGTAGGCTTCTGCAGAATTATATTATATAAAAATGACAGAAGCCTACACTTTTCTAGTATGTATCTAGGTATAGGTATAGCCTTCACAAAATATAGAAGTATACCAAAAAAAAGATACGAAGTTGGCACCTCCAATTCTTTAACCAACTGATCTACTAACACAAACCCAAATATCACTCAAATATTTATCAAATATATCTGACGCATTTTTTTCAGTGAATGTAAAAAGAAATAATAGCAAACTTAGTCAGCAAATTGTAAAAGGAAGACAAGAAGATATGTATCTGAAATTGTAGTCTTCTCAGTAATTATATTATATAAAAATGGGAGAAGGCTGCATCTTTCTAGATATATGTATAGTTATGGTATAGCCTTCGCATAAGACTTATTCGCTTAATATCGGTTAACACTATTTCATAATTTCAACCAGAATTTGGACGTAATAATTGGCATCCAAGCTGGCATAGGTAGACTGAAACTGGTGAATAAATGGAACCTCTCAGGCATTCAGCCAGTTTCTTACCAGTTCTTCAACAGTTCTATGATAGTTCCATGACACCATCATAGCGCTATCATGTTATCAAGCTGGAACCTAAAATTACATGCCCAAAAGATTAGTCAAAATTATGGCATAATGTCAGCTGAAATTAATCACAAATCCAATATGCCACCTGTCGCCTCTTTTTTTACATAATTTCAGTATTTTAAAAGCAACCAAAAAGATGCAAAAAGAAGCATTCTCGATATCTTAACAGGCCACCAAAATAGGCCAGAAGCGGAAAATAAGCGAATAGCTCTTTAGAAACAAAAAGAGCGCAAAACATTGTAAACACATGAATAATTCCTTGATAATAAAAAGAGGATAAAGCAATAAAATCAAGCAAATATCTACAAAGCAACCAAACAGTCACAGACTAGTGAAAACAGATGAATAGCAATAAAGCAACAGAAAGGACACAGACACGTAAAAATAAGAAAGTAGGTATCAATATAGCTATAAGTAGGAATCACTATGATGTAAGTAGATAGATTAAGTAGGTATGACTATAATTATAGTAACACCTACTTAATCTATCTACTTACATGTACTGACAATTTTGTGAAAGACGCACATCATTTTTTTGAAATTTCATTAAAAAGTGCATTTTTTCGTTTATTATTAAGAGCAGGAAGATGTCTGAAGCATAGTAAATTTTCAATATTTCCAGTTTTTTGGTATTTGGTAATAAATCTGTGTATTATGGTTGGATCCTAACCCATTTTTTTTCTATTTGAGTAGGATTTAAACTTTTTATATATACTAATATTTTTCCATTATCATGAAGGATCATTTCAGTATGTATAAAAGTCATTTTTAATCATACAAAAAATATTATATAGTCTTAAAAAAACAAATAGATGAAAAAATTTATATCAAAATACAGAAAAAAATAGCAATAAATAATATATAATAACATTAAAAATCAGACGTCACTTTGCATAACTGTATATATTAATATATTATTTATTATCTGGAGCATAGCGAAGGACTATATAATTCCATGCTATTTGACTCTAATGTCTGGATGTCCGTCCGCTTGTTGTTTGAGTCGATCAGTATAATTAGTGTAAACAACAAATAAAGGAAGGAACCACAATACTTTTACCATTTCTGTAATTAGTATAAAACTTTATTATAAAATAGTCTAGTGTAAAACTAAATATGTAATTGCTAAAAAAAATTGAGAAATAAATTCATATATCGTATTGCTAAAAAATAAAAAATTTTGTTAAATAATTTATATATCGCTAAAAAATTTAATTTTTTCATTCTCTTGATATTATAGAAAGTAAATGTTCTTTTTCAGCCTTTCTTTTCTTATAGTCTTTTGCAACTTTGAATTTATTGAAGTCTTTCAAAAGTAAATTGCTTGAAATACAGTAAATATTGTCTAGTTAAATTATATAAAAAAGCTCCAGATTTATAACAGTTCCCGTTTCCTAGTATATACTATTTGTCAATACATATAAATATAATTATATAGAAGAATTTTTATTTGCTTTAATTTATATTATTAATATTGGTCAAAAAAAATGAATTGGCAAAAATAAATCTTTTAAAATTTAGCAAAAAATCAATATAAATTCCAATTTGTAAAACAAACTGGTATAAGATAGTCTGAATTATTGCAATACCATATTTTGATCCTATTAGATTTGTCACAATTGACCCAATGCATTGCTTATTTTTAGGAATTGCACGATAGATAGTAAAACAAATTTGGATTGATGAGGAAATTTAAAATATTGAAAGGAATATTAATATTTAAATTTTACTGATTATAATAATAAATATTATAAAATAAAACTATTAAGTATGCTAAGTATTATATAAAAACATATTATTATTCGTCTTTATTCAGGATTTGTGAATCAGAAGATAAGATATACAAACTGACCAATAATAATAGAAGAAACATTAAGAGACTCATAAAGTAACTCTTATTAAACTTATTTTAGAGCAATTATCATAACTTTTAACACTTCTTAATCTATTTTAATATGTCTAGAATCCTGTTTAACAAGTGTTAACTTCCTTATAGATTTCTAAGTATAGCTCTTCTATATATACTAACTAGGTATCAAAATATATTAAATATTCAACTATAAAAGAGTAATATGAAAAATAATAGAATATGATTAACTAAATGAGTATAGTATTATTATATGAATTATAAAACAATTAATTGAACTGTAAAAATCACTCACTATTATATCAACTAATTATTATATAATATATGTATTACAATTATAAATATTTATTAACTATCATATTTCTATCTAATTTTACCTATTTCTTACAAGTAAGAAAACTTATATTAAAAATACCTTTATTGAAATCAAATTAAATAAATAATTATTCTTATCTACATATTCTTATTACAAGTAAATTTGTAATTAGATAAAAATCTAAAAAAAAATAAGGTTTTAAAAATTGTATACATCTAAATATTATTTTTGAATCTTTTGTTATAATTATATTCTTTTATTTATCTATAAATACTAATTAATTAATAAAAAAAAATATTATTTATAAAGAAGATTTTTCTAAGAAATAATTTACTATTTTATATGAATAATTATAAATTAAATAAGTTAATAAAAAATTTAACATATAATAATCAAGTAATATATTATTACAAGTACTAGATAAAAATACTGAAATCTATCTTACAAAACATATAACAGTTAAAATTATAATTCATTCTTTAGTCCTATTTGAATATCTATTAATGAATAAAAAAAAGGTATTATATTAATTTATCATGTTAATAAATAGCATAATACAAAAACAACTTTTACAGTTATAATATTTAATTTAAAATAATTAGTAAAATAACTTTAATAATTTTATATTTTAAAATTAAATATTTTATATATCAACTTAATATTCAAAATAATATAACTTATTCATATCTTAATAATATTATCATATAAAGAAGAAATAGAATCTGTTAAGGCTTAAAAATATGTGAATTTGCATATTTAGATCTTTAAAAAATGAATTATGTATCAGTAGATTCTGATTCAGATTTACATTTAAAAATAAATGCAGAATTATCAACTACTAATGTGAAAAATAATACATTTGCATAAGTATTATTATTTATATTATTTATTATAAATTATAGTATTATACAAGTCAATTGTGAAGTCTACTAACTGAAAAATAAACTTCAGCGCGTATAGCAAGATTATAGGTATCTGAAGAATAATGATTTAACTTAATAATTTTAAAAACTTATTTAGATTAATAAAACTATTGAATTAACAATATATCAATTTATAAGTACAGAAAATATTGAGAATATATAAATATAAATTGGAAATACATATGAATACTTTAAATATAATGGAAAAATAATAATGATGGATTGGGTTTTAGCTTACAAGTTTAACAGATTAATGTTATAGGGATAATGTTTAGTTTATTAATAAAATATAAGTGGATTAATACAATTCAGTAATTAAATAAACTCTTATTCACAAATTTATTAGAATATAAATTTCACAATTAATTCTCTAATTAACATTTAAAACTAATCTGAATCTAAACTAACTCTTAACTTCACTAAAATTTAACTATCTGATTGTCTGCTTCTCCTTTTACTACAGCAATTATTTATATATAAAATATTTGTTCTACTTCTAATTAAAATAAAGTAAAACTATAGAAACTAAAGAAATATTGTAAACTTTATTAACTATGTTAACTAATTTAACCAATTTAAATAAATAAACTAAATAAACTTATTAAACTATATAAACTTAGTTAATAATGTTATTATCATTTCCAAAATTTGATTGTTAGGCTGTGGCTTAAAAAATTATGACTTTCTTTAATAGTGATTTATAAAGTTATAATAGTAGTTAATTTTTTCAAATTATCTTTGCTTTTATTAATTCAATAACTTTAAATTTATATTTGTTGGAAAGCTCTTGATAAGATGGTTCTAATGATCATATTTTTATCAAAATGTAATTATTAGGTCAAAAGTTATTTTAATTAATAATAATAATGATTATTTAATAATTAACTAATAATTTTATTTATATATATTTATTTAGTTATATATAAAAGCAAATATAGATAAATAATATAAAATAAAGTGCAATATACTGGAAAACTTGTATTAAAATATTTAAAATATCATGATAATATAACAATTTTAACATATTTTATTTGTTGTAACAAATGGAAATTAAATAAAAGATTTTATCATTTTATTAAAATTAACAAAATGTAGATTTTATTTTATTTTAACAACTTTTGAATAGATTATATAAAGTTAGATATAATTATTTTATTTTATTTAAATATTAAATATTTGAATATATTTAGAATAAATCAGATGAGCCAGTAAATACCTATTATATACACTAGTTAAAATTATTTCTTTCAATACTAATACTATTTAGTAAATATTCAGCTGATTCAATCATATAATTCAGCAAAAATTTAGCTTAAATTATAAAAATCAATAGTCATTTATTATATTATATATAGTTTAGCATTATTTTAGCATCATAATCTTTTAGTAAACATTCAGTTGATTCAGTTATATTATTTGGCAAAAATTCATCTTAAGTTATAAAAATCAATCATATTACACATAATTTAGCATTATTTTAGTACTAAGATTTTTTGGCAAACATTCAGCATATGATTCAGCAAAACTTCAGCTTGAATAAAATAATAATCCCTAAAAAAAACAATAGAATCATTTCAAAAAGAATGATTTTTATTATTCTTTTAAAATGATTCATCATTATTCTAAAAGAATAATGATTTTTGTTATCATTCTGAAAAAATAATTCTTTTTATTATTCTATTAGAATGATTTTGTTATCATTCTTAAATTATCATTCTGAAAAAACAATTATTTTTATCATTCTTTTAAAATGATTAAATTATCATTCCTTTAATCAAATTATTATTCTTAAGAAATGATTAAAATATATTTTAATAGAATAATTTTTATATTGTTTTTTTTAGAAAGATAGTGTATCATTCTTGAAGAATGATTTTTTATATTATTCTTTTTAAAATGATAATATATTGTTCAAAAAGAACAATTTTATTATTATTCTTTTTAGAATAATAGTGAATCATTCCAAAAGAACAATTATTTTTATTATTCTAAAAGAATGATATAAAAAATTGTTCTATTAGAATAATATTTTAATCATACTAATCAGATAATACAAAATTATCTGTTTAAAAAAATCATTCTTAATAAGTAAATTTCAGATTAAATTTTGGTTCAGTTTATAATATAAAATTGATAACTTTAAAATTTTTTTTTTTTTTTTTTTTAGTAAAGTAATTTTTTGGTGAAAATTTAACATTTTTTTTTTTTTTTTTTTTTTTTTTTAGGAAATTCTTAAGGTAAACAAATCGAAAGTGACTTTTAGACGATTTTAACTATTTTTTTTTATTTTTTAAGAATATAGGAGTTTTGTAGTAGAAAGGAAGAAAACTCTAAAAAAATTAAAATTTTACTTTCTAAGCTAATTATGATTTTTTAGTAAATAAGACTAGATTTAATATTAATTTAAAAAAAATTTTTTAGAGTTTCCTCTTTTTCTACTGCAAAGCTTCTATATTCTCTTTTAGAAACTAAGTTAAACCTTTTAAAGATGAATTTTGGATGTTTTTAACACTTTTTTCTTGTTTTTCAGAAAAATTCTTTTTTTAAACTAAGCCTTTAAAAATGATCTTTTGGTAGTTTTATAACTGTTTTCTTTATTTTTTATTTACTTTCTTTAGGAATACATTAATGTAAGCCTTTTGGAAATAGTATTTTGATAGTATTCTAACTGTTTTCTTTATTTTTTATTTACTTTCTTTAGGAATGCATTAAGATAAGCTTTTTAGAAGTAGTATTTTAATAGTTTTTTAACTGTTTTCTTTATTTTTTATTTACTTTCTTTAGGAATGCATTAAGATAAGCTTTTTAGAAGTGGTATTTTAATAGTTTTCTAACTGTTTTCTTTATTTTTTATTTACTTTCTTTAAACATTAAGATAAACCTTTCAGAGCTAATATTATCTAACTATTTTTTTATTTATCTTCACTTGCTTTAAGAATACATTAAAGTAAGTAAATCATAGATAGATTTTGTAATTTTCTAACTATTTTCTTTATTTTTTATTTACTTTTTTTAGAAATAAATTAAGATAAGCCTTTTAAAAGTAGTATTTTGATAGTTTCTAACTGTTTTCTTTATTTTTTCTTATTAAATGTATTTTTTTTAAATAAATTATAATGCAATATATTTTCTTTTTGAGTAATTTATTATATAATAATAAAATAAAATTATAAATAATAAATAAACAAAAATGAGTTTTATTAATTTCAATTTTATAAATAGTTACTTAATTGATTTTTTGCTAATTATTAACTAATTTTAAACTGACTTATCAATTTTTAACATTAATACTAATTGATAGTTGATTTTCTATTTATTTAAAATGCTATTTTTGGTAATGATCTGCATAATTAGACTACCTTTCACACTTTAAAATATGATAAATTGTATTATTTTATCTAAAGATATAATATATCAAACAATTACCAATCATTAAATATTAATTTTTTATTAAGTAATAGTTGTATTTGACAACTTTAGCTATAATCAAAATTCCAATTTTTTTGGTAATAATCAGCAGAAATTAGACTATATTTCAGCCAACATTCATCAATTTAAAAAAATGACAAAATGTATTATTTCGATTAATAACAGTTTATACAATATTTTGAAAAACTTTTTGTTATAAACTTTTGAATAAATAAATCTAAATTTATTGTTTAAATTATTTATTTATACAATTTAATTAATTTTTATTATAATACATCTATATTATGTAGGAAATATTATTAATGATACCCAAAAGAATTATGTAATATGAAATATGAAGCGGTATAAAGATCAGTTATATGTAACAAATAATCATCGCAAATCTTATCAGAATTTTTCATGAAGAGGAGGATGACTATTGATGTAATACATAATAAGGATAGAAAAAATACTATGCAATAGTTAAATAATGATTGAGTAATGATTATATTGTACAATTTAATTATAATATTGTGTAAGGATGAAGTAATGATGATTTAAGGATGATGCAAGAGATAAAAGATTAAGAGGAGGATTATTAAGTGAAGAATATTACAGAAATTATTACATAATAATTAGGTAGTAATTATTAAATAAAATATTAAACATTTCAGAAATAATAAAGTAATTATTGCATAGTTATTATATAATGAATTCTTAGTCATAGTTTTAGTATAAATAGCCTCTAAATTTTATCATGTAATAGAAACTTTGGTTTGTCGATTAAGAGTCTTGATCAGTCGAAATATATTCTTTATCTTAATAAATTTCTTTTAAAAATTATAATTCATAAACCTCTCTATCAAATGCAGATAAATTTTATTTTAAAGCTTTTCTAATGAAACTATCCCTATAATTTTAAACATTAAGACTCAAGAATTGAGAGTTATTCAGTCCTTATACTGAACAGCTTAGAAACTCAAATCATAAAAGAATACATTTGAAATGCAATTATAAGTTACATACGTTAAGCACTATCTAAAGACTTTCCTACCGAATAAGCTGGGCTGAATCCAACTTTATCCACTCTGATTAAGTGTTTTAGTCTGCTTAATCTACACATTTGGGTAATATTAGATAAGGATTAGTAATTTAAAAAATATATGAAATTAATTAATTAGATATAAAAAAAATATCCTTATGTATATTTGTTTATTTGGAGTTTAAAATTTATTTGCATTTGATTTATTTGTTTAAAGTTTGGGTTATAGTTGACTAACCATAATTTTCTAATTTTGGTTTTAGAATTTTAGTAAGCAGGATTAGATTTAGATAAGCATTTTAAAATTTAAATTTGGATAGCAAATATACCTATAAATTGAATAAATCTATATTCTTACTATTAAAATAATTTTATAACAATATTATTAAGGATTACATAAATTAATTAATATATTAATTGAATTTTTTTTGTATTATATAAAAAATAAGCAAATATGTAATATAATTCTATTCTTTATTTTTAATATTTTATTACTATACATTTATGTAAATTAATCTTACTTGATAGAGTTTTTGCTTTATACTTTTACAATTACTATTAGAATTTTAACATTATTATATTTAAGGTAATAAGTCTATTTATAATAATTATTATTATCCCATAATATTCTTTATATTCTCTTCCTTGTAATATTTATCATAATATAAAACAAAATACTAAACTGATAAATTTAAATAATTAGACATATTTATTACTTACTTTACAAATAAAAAACTACTATATTACTATTCCAATTATATATTTTTACTTCTTTTCTAGATTAAAATACTTAAAAGATTTTTTACTAAAAGAATTGGAAACTTTAAGTTTAACTTCTAATAAAATAGTTTCTAAAGTTACTTATTATTAATGATAATGATTTTTCTAAGTTTTTCTGAATTTTTTATTTATATTAAATTTATATGATCTATAATTTTTTGAATTTGAATATTAATTAATTTTTTAAAATATCATTTGTATTATAAATTATTAACTTAATTCTATTGATGCAAATTACCTTAATTGATATTAGTAAATACTATAATATTTCTTTATAGGCTATAGTTTTTGTTATCTTATCTTTAATTTTACTATTAATCATAATCATTTTAAATTATTTTTAAATCTAAAGAAATAATAAAATCAGTATAAGCTTTTTTTTATCATTCATTTTAATAGTTTCATAATCTTAATTATATTATTAAAATAAATATATCATGTAGTTCAACAAATGCTATTGAAGAAATAGATTGTATTTTAAAATGTTTAATAACTTGATTTCTATCAAGTTAGATATTTATCAGAAGTGATGTTTATACTGCTAATTATTTTAGTATTATATAAAATGTTTGTTAAAAAATGAAATTCTATAAATTTTTTAAATAAAATTTATTTTTTATTGCATTTTAATCTAATATCATCAAAAATTAAAATGCAATAAATTAAAATTTTATTTAAAAAATTCTTAGAATCATATTTCTAGCCAATTTTCTATATGATAAATAGTTTTTAATAGATAAAATATTATTAATTATACTAAATAATAATTTTAAATCTTGATCATTACATTTTTTTATTATATAATGATTTTAACTCTTAATGATTATTAGTGATCTCTGTATTATATAATAAGTCTGATATAACATTTTGGATAACTATTGGCTCTTCTTCTTATTATTATATTATATAATTTTATTATTCTTCTTTTTTTTGCTCTTCTTGCATTCCTTATTCAAGAAATTATCTATCTCTTTATTTTCTAATAACTTGAAATTAGTATTTTCAATTTGCAAAGATTTAGAGCACTGACATTTATTACATAATATTCATTTATTATAAGACCTAACCCCACTCCATCTGATTCAATCACGTGATTATTAGTCACATGATATTAAATATAATTGATGGCAATAGCAATTTACTATGTTAATAAATTTAGTTGTGATGGCTTTACTATTTTAATATACATTAACAGCAGAGGCTTACATTTTAAAATATAACAGTTACAATTTACTATTTAATAAGTTGGACAGTTATGGCTTTACTATTTTAATATATATTAATTGCAGGAGCTTGCATTTAATATATTTAACTACAAAAGATAAAAGAGAATTTAATATATTTTGCTATTTCACATTTTTATAATAAAAAATTTTTGTTCATAAAAAACATGTTCATTTCTTCAAAAATTTTTTTATCAAATGAGTTGTCAAACATATTTTATTGGTCTTAAATTTAATAAAAAATCAATTTATAATTCGTCAGCTAATAAATATCAAGAATTTACTAACACCTATGCATATAGTTATATGGTAAAAATGGGAAATAAAACTTCAAATCGTGTCATTATTTGTTACAAAGTAGCAGTGAATGGAGAAACATTAAAAGTAAAATTGCTGTAGAAATTGATGACATAATTAAAGAATATATAGTCACTACAATTACCCAACCATAAGAGCTAACTATTCTAAACATATAGTAAAATCAGTTCCTTTCCTTCCTATTATTAGTCTGATTAAACCTGCAATTAAAGTTTCTAGAAATGCAACAGCTCAAAAGAAGATATTAAAAAAAATTGAAACATCTAAAAACAAACTAACTGAATTAAAACAAATTTACAACATTATTACTAACACTTAGATTTGGCATGATGTATTTACAAAAATAGAACTATTTGAATTCAAAATTAGTTCTAACAAGAACAAAATTAACAAATTAAAAAGGAATGCAAGATATGCTCAGAATTGTAGAGAAAAGAAACTTAAAATACTAATTGAGAATAAAGAGGTAATCAAATATGACAAATTAGGTCATCTATTGCTTCTTTTTAAACATCTAGACTTACATGATCAGATCTATAACTCAGTTGAATTTGGATCAGCTGATTCAAAAGAAGGAAAGAAGTAGTTAAGGTACAGATCATTGAAAATTTACATAAGAATTTGGAAGAAAGATATAACATTTACATAACACAGACAACATTAAACAATTATCTCTTATCTTGCCAAGCCAATTTAATTACCTCAAAGTAAAGATGAGAGACGAAACTCAAAAAAGGCAATTAATAAACAGCCGAAACTATATTAAAACATAGTGAGGGGTACGACGAAACCCCGAAACCCGAAATTAGCCGAAACTATATTAAAAACATAGTAAGGGATATGACGAAATTATTTTGAGGGAGTTTCGGCTGGCATCTTTACCTCAAAGGCTTACCATCATCCAACATGGGTTGCTGTAGCTAAGGTTTTATATACAAATACTCAAGATCATCCTGATGAGCACTATTATCTCGCATCTATCAAATATGCAAAGCAATTTGCTTCTATATTTGCCGATGTATCTGTTATCATCTCACAAGATAATAAAGCAAAAGTGGGTCTCAGAGTATCTGTAGTAGGTCAAACATTTCATACTTTACAATCAATTAATGATCTTATATCTGTAGCTGATCACGATTTTCTTATAGGAAATAGATAAAAGCTAATTCCTTCAGTATACTTAATGATAAAACCAAATAAATTAAAAGATGAACTTTGAATAGGATAACTTGCAATATTTATACGTTTCCAATGACCTACTAGTACATCTTTACTTATACATATGCAAAATCTGAAAAGTCTTACTATAAATTCCCAATTTGATAATATATTGAAGGTTAATAAACAAATTCGTTCCTTTGAATATTACTAGTAAATGGAGGACTAAACAAGAACTCTTGACATTTGAAAAATATAAAGTATATTATCAACTTTTTAAAAATATGATTTGGATTATTTGAATATATGAACGTACGCTTCAAGATAATCTAAATACAATACTATTGAAAGAGGTATGGTGACCTTATCTGGAAAACTTGCTGGTATCACATTACTGATTGATCATTTCAGAAAGCATTTGAATTCACAAGGTAAAGTCACGAATCTTGAATTGGCTACTCAGAACTTTCAATATACTAAAGAGATTTTTTGCAATATTTGGAGTCATGATTCAATATTTAAACAATACGTTGATATTCAGTATATAGATATATTTACAAATCCATTCAAAAATTTGAAATTAAAAGTATAGAAAAAGTGAAAGCTAAAGAGTTAAAAAGACAAGAAAAACAAAAACAAAAAAATGTAAAAAAGAATGAAACATCTGCCTTATTCAAATGTTTTGTTCTATAGTTTTGGATTGCAATTTGTGTACTTATTCTATTGATATTAAAAAATGCAAAGATATAAATTGTTGTGGATTACCTAAAGCTAAGGAGGCAACAGAATTTCTTAAAAGCTATAATGGTTTCTTACCACTATTAGCTGCAAATTAACATTATTAAAAGATCATCAAAATTGATCTACAAATTATTATTTGATTTAGTTGACAAATATGACAAATTGGTCATATTTGACCGATCTACCATATTTATCATATTTATCATATTTGTCAGACTTGTTATATTTGTTATATTTATTAATTATATATTATTTATTATATTTATCTTATTTATTATATCAGACATATTTATCTTATTATATTACTATTAGTTTATTTTATATAAATAATATGTATTTGTTTTTGAGTTAAAGAATAACTTGATATAGAGATTTGTAAATAAACTAAGAATTAACTAATTATCTTCAAATAATAAATATCAATAAAGACAATCTGACCCTTCAATTAATTAAATTCGTGTATATTTCTTTTATAATTTAGATGTAATTAAACTCTCTATTAGCAAATATAAATTATTAACTTAACGACAAACAGTTTAAGCTTAATACCACCTGTCACTAAAGCTAAAGATGGATATTTTATAAATTCCATTCATCTAATCCAATATTATGATCTTTTAAAAATCCTGGGTTAAGATGACTATTGTCCATCCCTTAAAAAAAACACATATTCACATTTTTGTTGTCCTGTTTGTAAAAAATATTTTCCTACCCTTACCTTTCTATAAATCATAAGAAACAGTGTACTATACCACTTAAAGATGATCCAAAGAACATTCTAAAGACCAAACTGAATGGGATTCAAAAGCACTTGATGATTTTTCCCTTTCAACCTCACAATGAATAAGGTATCCTATTCTATTTATATATATTTCAGAAGGAGAGTGAAACATATATTATATATATTGAATATTATATATTGTAATATTAAATAAATGAAATTTTTATAATATGAATATAATATGATATAATCTAAGCTACATGAAAATCACATGATATTTATATATAAATGTAACATAAGATATATTTAAGAGATATCACAAACCTTTTCATTCCCTAAAATATTACGTAATAAATGTCAGTACCCTTATTATACTGATTTATAGTAAAGCTAGGCAATATTATTATAAAGCATTGTTAGAATATGATCTAAATAGGATATTAGAACTTAATATAAGTTTGAAATATAGTATATGATATTTTTAAAATATTTGTAACATAAAAAATATATATCACTGAAGCTAGAACTTTCTTGAAAGAAATATTATTTCAATAATACTTAAAATCCAGTTTTAATTTATAATCCTAACTCTAAGTTCCATATTCTCAACCATAAAATTAGTGGTATTATATAGCATTGTATATAGTTTCCCCTTAAAAAAGTATCTCCCTTAATTAGTATCAAGATATTATTCAATTGCAAATGCTGATTTTTTTGAGAAGTGCCTCAGTATTAATCAAAATATTCATTTATTATATTTATTGAATATTTATAAAAAAATATAACATTTACATTACTTAATCAAAATTAAAATCACTAATCATCCCATACATTAGCATGATTTGTTTTTGTACATCATAATAATCATCAACATTTCCTTTTCTTTGAATTAAATTAACATCAATAACATTCTATGAATTACTAATCCAATTTACTATAGTTTCATATGAAAGTCTTTTGATATTACCAGCAGGTGTTAACACTTTAACAGAATTAACCATCCAATTGTTATAATTTTGTCACATCTATAAAATAAGATAAACAAATAAAAATGATTATTAAATTTATTTTTTAAAAATCAATATATATTAAGTTTCTTACCTTTGTTTTAAATGATTTGTTTACTAAAATATCTAAAGGTTGTAGGTAAGATGTTAATCCTTTAGGAATAACAGTAATATTAGTATTTTTTTTTCACTAAAAAGCCTTTTTACAGAATTAACAAGATGTATAGAAAATGAGTTCAAAACTAGTAATGATTGTGAATTTGAAAGTCTTGCACGTTTAATCCAAACATTTTCAATCCAATAAAGCATTTAATTTTCATTCATCCATCCAGTTGGATTAGCTCAAATAATAACTTCTTGTGGAAAATTACCTTGCAGAACTTTTTTTAAGTTTGAAAATTACAAGAGGAGGAAGTTTAGTTCCATTAGCCATACAAGTTAATACTACTGTAAAATTTGATTTTTCATGTCCTATTGTACGAATGCTAACAGATTGTATTCCTGTTTCATCAATAGTAGTATTACTTGGCAGATCAAATATTATTGGAGTTTCATCTATATTTCCAATTAATATTAAAGGATAATCATGCTGAATGCATTTATACATAATAAATGTCAAAATACCTGCTACTTTTTATTTAAATTATCTGGTAAATGTTATGTAATAGTAGTATAACATTAATTACTCAAATTGTTGCGACTCATTAAACCATCTACCCACTTGTTACTAAAAGCAAAAAATTGAATATTAGGATATGTGGATTGCCATTGACTTTTTGTGCAAATACTTTGCCTTTGCTTTTCATTTGTATCATACTTCGCAAAACTGTTTATTGATTATTTCTTCTCTTTTTTATTTATTTAACTAAAGCAGTTTCTAAAGCAGGATATTTTGGAAATATACCTTTATGTAAACATTTTACACCTGGTTGAGCTTTTAAAAGTTGTGTTTTTTTAGATATCTGTCTCAAAGTTACTTTGTTTCAATATTAAATTTAACTGCGATCTTGTTTTTACTATGCCTATTTTCATAATATAAATAACTGCTATTTTTTCACACACATTGTATTGTCTTCATATTTTTTCTGTTACTGTTGCACAATTTGTTCTTTTGTTTGCATGTAGATCCATTAAAAAAATTAAATAATAGTTGTTTAAGATGTAAAAGTGGTAAAGTTAAAAAATAAGACGTGAAAAAAATTGCATATGTTATTTAACGAAAAATTTAATGATGATCATTTGATCATTTGAATCGTGAATTATTAAAATATAGAAAATGAATAAAAACAAATTGTTTAAAATGATAGATATAGCGTTAGTTTTTGTTAAATTTAATAATATTTATTATTTAATGTTAAAAATATTATTTAATAATAAAAAATGCTTAAAAAACTTATTTGAATACTTAAACAAAGTATTGAAGTCATTTTTTAAAGAAGAATTATTTATTTCAAAATTTTAAAGCTTAAAATGCTGAAAAAGAAAAAAAGTTTTTTTTTATTTTTATTTTTTTATTTTTTTCTAACCTTATGATAGATAATCTAATTACACTATAATAATAATTAGTACTTTCTTAGTATAGTACTTTACCTCTTACACAGTACCTCTAGGGATACTATTTAAGCTAACCTATTTTTTTGATTAAGACTGGGAATACTGTATGCAGTATCTATTTATTTTTTTTTACCTTGTTAATTTAACTCTTAAAATTAGTCACAAGTCTGGTATTTTTTTCTAAGTAATTTAATCTTAGATTCTATTTTAATAATACTTTTTATGCATTATATATATATAAATATTCAAAAATAAAATTATATGATATAAACAAAAATTATATAGATTATATTTAATCTAATGTATATATTTTAGACAATATAATTGTTATAACTCTTGTTTTATAAATATATAATATTTTTGAGTTCAAAAGTTTTAATATAGCTATATCTTCTTGATTATTTTTACTACTCATCATCAAGAGGATTTGTTTTACAAATTAATATTTAATTATTGAGAAATCTTTTCTTATATTTTGAGCATTAATTTCTTCTTATAATTTCTTTATAATATTATTGTTGTCTAACTTTCCTTCTATTATTATTTTATCTTTCTTCTAATATCATATTTTTTCTAGTTATTTTTTTTTATAATATAAAGTTTAAACTTTTCAAATCTCACATAATTTCAGTAGTGTTAGCATCAATAGACTATCTGCATTATATATACTATAGATTAGTATTAGACAATTAAATAATTTTAAACAATTTTAGACAATTATAGATAGGTTTTGGATACAATTTCATATGTTCAAAACCTTGTCTAAAATATTTAAAATTAAAAAATATATTAAAATTTATTACTGCTATAAATGCTTACCAAAACTCCCTCAAAATAATTTCGTCATATCTCTTACTATATTTTTAATATACTTTACAGAAACTCAAAAAATTCTAACGATAACTTTACCATACTTTGACGATAATCGAATCGAGGTCGTTAAGTT